TGGGGCATGGGCCCTGGCCAGGCAGACAGGTGGTGGGCTGGCAGGGGGATGATGGTGTTGGGGGCGGGAGGGCACCTATGGCCAACTAGACTTTCATGTCCACTCACCGCTGGGTACAGGGTCATCCTGAAGCAGTCCGTGAACGCCCTTCCCATTTCTCCTGCTCCTTGGTGGGGCAGATCATGATGCCACAGGGCCCCCTGTGCCCCCAGCCCACCCTCTCCGAGGGGCAGACTGCCCACCAACTGCATCCCTGCTCCCAAAAATAGCTGAAGGAGAAAGGATCAGGGTGGGAGACTCATCTCCACTGTGTCTGGCTGGGCTGGGAGCTACGACATGGTGCTTAGCTCTGGATGCTCTAAGGCTGCTCCTGGGCTGAGGTGACCATCCCCTGCCACTGTGCCCTCCAGGAGCGAGCTGAGAGGATTGCCACCTTTGCACTCTGCGGATTCGCCAACTTCAGCTCCATCGGGATCATGCTGGGAGGCCTGAGTGAGTGTAACCCATGTCCTGGGTGCCTGGGCACAATGCAGGGAGATCCTGGGCCCAGGGAGCAAGGGCTCAGCTGGAGCAGGAGGAATTTGCTGCGCTCAAGCCTCCATGTTCGGTCTCTGCCAGCACAGAGATAAGAGGATTCGCATGAGGCAATAAGGATTATTTTGCATTGAACCCATGGGCAAGAGCATGTGCACGTCCCACGAGGCCAGGTGCCACCCAGCCATGGGGCAAAGAGCAGAAACTCCACTGCTGAGAGTGCTGAGGGCTCTGATTGATCACCCATGGGTGCAGGGTGGGCGTGGCACTCTGCCAGCACCCACCGCTGCCAGGATGGGCAGAGAGCATTGCTGGTTGTTGTCTGGGATCACCACATCCACCAGACACCAGGGGCTGGGGTAGGCAGGGCACTGTGTGGCAGAGCCAGCTGGGGACCTGGGACATGTCTGTCCCCAGCCCGGGATAGAGCTGGAGCAAGGGTCTGACTGACCCCGGTCTCTGCTTTGCCCCCGCAGCCTCCATGGTACCCCAGCGCAAGAGCGACTTAGCCTCCATCGTGCTGCGAGCCCTGCTCACTGGCATCTGCGTCTCCATGCTCAACGCCTGCCTGGCAGGTAGGTCCCTGCCCACTGCCAGCAGGGCCAGAAAGAGCAGAGGAGGGACAGGCGAAGGGCTGAATACCCCTACAGATGCAGGTGCAGGGGTGGGGACAGCTGGGCTGTCCTCCCCATGGCTCTGCTGAAGTCTCCAACCCCCATGCCTTCGCCAGGTGCTGCCCAAGCCCAATAGCTCTGCTGGGGACCCTCATGCGCACCTGGGCTGGGATCGGGACATCTGGGGCCCTGGGGGTCGCTGCGGCAACCATCGGGGGGTGAGGTGGGACAGCGCATGGGACCAGCAAGCACAGTCCCAGGTACAGGGTTTGCAAGCAAGCATAGCTGGGGTATGGGATTTGTGAGCAGGGCTGGGGTACAGGATCTGCAAGCGTGCTTGGGGTAAGGGATTTGCATGCCTGGTCCCTCAAGAGCCCCAGCCATGAGCCCTTGTCCCCAGGTCTCCTTCACGTGCCAACGGAGGTGGGTGACTGCACAACCTTCCTCACCACCGCCAACTTCAGCTCTACCAGCTACATCATGTACACGTGCTGCAAGCAGCTCTTTGCCAGGTCGGTGTGAAGAGCGCTAGAGCTGTATGGTCCTGCCTGGGGACCCAGGTGGTGGGAGAGCAGCTTGTCCTGATCACACTTCTCTCTTTCCAGTTCGGTGGTCGAGAATGGGACACTCTCCTTCACAGGAACCTGGGCTGGCGTGGTGGAGAGCATGCTGTGCCTGACGCAGTGCTGCGGGCACTACAACCACACGTCCTGCGCGGGGACAACCTAGAAACGTGCAGGCAGCTGCCCACTCTGGGGTCAAGGGCCTGGGAGCACCAGGGTCTTCAAGGCCTGGCCCCAGAGGTGGAAAAAACTCCGGCAGAGACCTGTAAAATCGGTCTTCTCCACTCCAGTGATGACAGACAGCCGCATGCACCTTGCAACCAGCACCCTCAGGTGCTCGCCCCACGGACACAAGGGAACTGCTCCCAAAAATAAATCATGGAAATCCCTGTGTGCTTGCCCTCAGCCCCCCGACCGCAGCTGTCGCATGCGACACAAGGTGCTTTGCTGAGGCTGCACCCCCGTAGCCAGCATCTGCTGCAGACCTCGCAAGCTGATCCTCCGCCAGGTGCCAGCTTTGGGGTCCGGCCCTGGCCACCCTCTTCTCCCCCACAGGGTGTGGATGGGGGCAAAGCCATGACTTGAAGACGCTTCCTTCCTTGAACACAAAGCTGCCCTGTCCTGCCATGCTTGGGTACATCTTTCCCACAGGGACCACAGCGCTGGGGAACAGGTCAGTCCTTCTCATTTTATTGCACTCGAGAGCACCCATTCGCCAACGCGGCCGCGTTATGTACATCCTTGTTTTACAATGACCCAGTAACAAAGCACCAGGACCCCAGAGCATGCCGCACTCCCAGCCGGGTCCCTTCCCTCCTCTGCCAGGCTCCACTGAGCCACCATTTCGGACACCGCGGTGCGGGTGGCATTGCTGGCACCCGGCCCCCTCCTCCACAGGGAGGGAGGTGCTCTGTGGGGAGACGAAGCAGGCAGTGCTGGGGCTCTTTGCAAGCCTCGCTGCCCACTGCCACGCTCTGCTGGCTGCTGCACGCCTGAGCAAGCTGATGGGCACAAGGGAGGCTTGATGCAACACAGGGTGCTTTACTTTGTCAGGAGCATCACCACCTGCCCGTCGCTGCCTCCCGCCGTGGCGCAGTGGGATCTGGAGCGGGTGCTGCTAGCTGCCACCGGCATACAGCGTGGGCAGGGCAGGGGTGATGCTAGGCAAGCATGATCAGGTCGTGCTATGGAGCTGGGCAGGACGTATGGGGTCTGCATGTGGCCGGTGGGCATGGAGGGGTGAGTCCTGTGGGCTGGAAACCCACGTGTACTAAAGCAATGCCTGGCATGGAGGGGAGGTCTCCCCTTCGCCCCGCTCCCCGGTGCCCTGTGTGAGGTAGAGCATCCTCGCCGTGGTGCTGGCCAGCACCCACAGCAGCACTGCTGCCCTCAGCACCCGCCCGGCAAGGCCGCCCGGGGCGCAAAATCGCATCCCCATGTGGCTGGCGGTACCAACGCCGGAGCTTCAGCACGGGACTGGCCCGCACCCCAGAGCCCCACGCAACAGCAGCAGGAGCCCTGCAGCTCACCGCTAAACCTCTCTGCAGCAAAACCTTTTAAACCACGGTGTGCCAGGGCAAATGCGACTGCCAGGGCACTGCTGCAGTTCACATCCTTGACACAGAGCGCTGGCGGGGCTTGGCGCCGTCACTTTGTGGAGGACACGAAGGGGGACACGAGGTACTGGGAACCAGCAGGGCAGTCCAGAGTCCCAGTTTGCTCGGGGCAGCCAGGCAGGGGGCATGGCGCCGGCAAAGCCTGAGGTCTGACAGCCCCTGCCTTAAGGAAGGCAAACGGAGAGAGTTGAGAGAGGAACGTGAGCTCTGAGTGTGGAGGGGCACGTGGCCCAACAGGCTCCAGCACTGGCAGCAGCGCTTGTAAAAAGGCATTGGCAAGGGGGTCCGCGCTGCCCACGGCTCACAGCCCCCCCAGACCCCAGCTGAGCCGCTCACACTCAGCACACACCACACAACGCAAGCGCCGCGGGCAGGGTGGTCGGCACAGGGAGGAGAGCAGTGGTCGCCGTGAGCCGGGTTTGGAGGCTGCTAGGGCCTCCCCTGTTTCTGCAGCTCTTCGGGAGCTCTTGGGGCTCACGGCAGCCTTGCGGGTACCCTGGGGACTCGCCAGCCCCTTCTTCTGAAGCTGGGGGCTGGACTGGGCAGATTTCCTACCCATGGAGGGGCTCTTGGAGCCCTTGGGCTTGGGTGGCTCCAGCGTCTTCAGCCCCAGGATGCTGCAGTAACGGTTACACTGGTGAGCGGACGCGAATTGCTCCAGCAGGGAGGGGAAGCAGCTTTCCTTCAGCCCCTGGTACCTGCCAACACAGCCATCCTCAGACCCTGCTTCACACCAGGAGACATCCCGCCAGAGCAGGGAGCTGAGGACGAAGCCCAGCTCTGCTCACCACCACCACAGCCCTTCGCCCTGTGAGTGGTGGAGCTGGGGACAGGCAGGGCCACCCTGCGCCAACCGCTCAGGGTCACTCACCCTTTCAGGTTGGTAGCGATCCGCACGTTGGTCATCTTCCAGCCCACTCCTGCAATGAAAGGGAGTTCAGCCAGTCTCTGCTAGAGAAGGACGGGCACCGGCACCAAGGGCAGGTCATGGCCCTGGGAGCTGAGCTCCATGGCACGTGGAGAAAGAGGCAGGAGGGCAAGGCTGGGGCTTTTCCTCCACCTTTCACAGGCCAGAGAGTGGTGAGGGGCCAAGGGCATCAGATGGGAGATCCCCTTACCTTCCATGTCAGTCACGAGGATGTTTCCATTTGTCCACTGGTAGACCCAGTGCTGGAAAGTGCAGCATTTGAGCACAATCTCTGAGGTGCCTCGTGCCACCAAGCTGCCATCTCTCTCAGTGACACAGTACTGCTCACAGGGCCCACCCAGGTCCTCCTCCATCGTGGCATAAGGGATGTTGTTGGCTGGACGGTAAATCAGGTACAGAGGAACTATCCTGCATGGAAGTGCACAGACAAGGTCAGCCCCGGCTGGCGAGCTCTCCCACCACAGCAGAGGATGCGCAGCACGGTCTGCAACCCTGGCTTTTGCCTCCCCCCTCCCTGACACCCCTTCTGTTTGAGGGTGGGAGAAGAGCGTACTGCCGTTTGGGATGTCCCCAGCACCCACAGGGAGCCCTCCCATCACCCCCCAGGATGCTCTGCCGGGACATCAAGCCAGCAGAGCCACAGCACCTTACTTACTCGGGCACCGCTCCAAAATCAGGGACAGCTCGTGCCTCAGCAGCAAAGATCTTGCAGTACTCACGGCTGGAGTTCTGGATTTTACATTCCTGGAGATGCAAACAGAAGAGTCAGGGACCAGTCCTGTCTTGCACCAACACCTCCTTGTGACCCCCCGCCTGGCCAGGCATCCCCTAGGACCGCTGCCCACTGTTTCCCTGTCCTGGTGGTCAAAGGACAAGTGACAGGAAAGCTTCGAGCAGCTCCATGTTTCTCAAGAGAGAAGCGCTGAAGCCAAGAATAACAAGAACATTGCCAGCCCACTGGAACATGGCTCAACCCCTCCAGAGCATTCAAAAAGTGGAAGGAAATAAAGAAAGTGGGCACAGAGCTGGGGACTGTGGCACAGACAGACGGGGAGGTGTGGGGCAGACAGGCAGAGGGTGCCCCACAAGGATGCTCACCTGGATGGTGATATCATAGTTCTTCTCGATGAGGCTGTTCTCATTCTTGGTCCCAAAGACAATGAAATTGTGCACTTTGATGACACAGGTGTGGCCGGATTCAAAGACAGGCTCCAGGCCGTAGATGGCTCTGGCACGGCAGGCTTTGCGCAGGAAACCAGCACCCACTTCCACGTCCTCGCTCACCACACGTCCGAAGAGCTTATCCCCCCAGTAGCCTGCATCAGCCAAACCCTTCGCGAACACCATGGGCGTCATCTCGATCTCCTCTCCAACTGGTGGAGGGAAGAGCTGGTGAGGGGGGACAACGCAGGCACATCCTGCCCTGCCACAGAGCTGCCAGCCCGCTGCACAGCAAGGGGCAGCAGTTGCAGCTCCGCAGCATGCAGCCCTTACCTTCCATCTCTTCCCGCAAGATAAATCCTGACAGCACTAGAGGAGACAGAAAGCAAAGAGGTGTCAAGGTCCTGCTAGGATCCTCTCCCTGCCCCACGCACTTCCACACCAAGGGATGGCAAGGAGGATGGAGTACATCGCTTGTAAATTAGCACACAGAGGCAGATGAACCTCGCAGAGGTGGTGTTACGGGGCGTGCAAGGCTCCCCCTTCGCAACCTGGCACCAAGCCCTCTCTGCAGTTCGCCAGCCACCCCACGGCACACCCAGGCAGCTGGGAGAGCTGCCAGGCTGCTGAGGGCTCCTCACCTTCCGGGCTGAGCAGGAAATCAGTGGAATCGGTGCCGTACTCGTTGCTGATCACACATCGGTAGACCCCGCAGTCCTTCTGGGATGCCTGCACAAGAGCCAAGGCTGCCTGGCCCTCGTCACCAGCGCTGGAAGAAACCAGAGCACGGCCTCAACCCCATGTGATGAGTGGGGGGACACGGGAGCGCCATCACAGGCACTGCGGTGGGCACCATGCTGCCTTTGGGGGGCTGGAAGAGGGCTACAAAGGAAGCCAGCAGAAGTGCATCCCAGCTGCCCCCTGGGCACCTCATGACCCTGCAGTTTGTACTCACGGAGAAGCTCATTTTCCAGGCAAGCCCTGAAAAATCTGGCTCGGATTGGGCCATAGAATGATAAAGGTACTTGCCTCTGTGGCTGGGTCAGGGCTGTGCTTGGGCTAACAGATCCACATCTGGATGGGCTGGCTGCAAGCCCACCAGCCACAGAGGTGTCCAGCTTCATTTTCAGCTGTTCACGAGTGAGGGCAGACACCACTCCCCATCCTGCAGCCTGCCCCTCTCTGAGGGACCAGCAACACACAAGCTCTGTGTCTTCTTCAGCCTGCAGCACCAAGCTTTGGGCTGGCAGCTCCTCTAGCCAAGGTGGTGATACACTGGGCAGATGGTTCTCCACCAAGCACCAAAGGCCTGTTTCTGCCCCATATGGCCAGCATGAACCAGCAAGGGGATAACGGGCCACAGAGGGAAGAGGTGGGACCCCCCATCCTGAGACCCGCTGGCTGAGCAGGCTCTGCTCTGGTCAGCTAGAAGGCAATGGCCACTCCTCGTCCATCTGCCCCAGCTCAAATATCTGCCATAGGAGATCGTTTCTGCCCCAGAAGCACCTCTTTCTCCCTGTTCATTATAAAGGGAGATCAAGGGACCCTCAAAGGCATCAGGTAAATCTTATACAATGTGGATGACGTTTCCACACAAGCTCCTTCGGGCTTGAGAACAAGTTGCTCTCCACAATGCACCCAAAGCAGCACCCAGAATACAACAAGCCACCCAGCTGTCCAAACATGCTCTCCCTGCACAAGGGCAGTGCCAAGGGACAGAAAGGGCAAAGCCAGAGCTGCTTTCTCCCTGTTGGTGCTTACCAGTGGTGGTTGCATGGAAACGCCTGCTCGGGTGCAGCATGCAGACCCTCCAGCACAGCTGCCACCCTCACATGTGTCACCTGGGGTCCCAGTTTTGCAGCTCTCAAACTCTGAGGTGGGCACAGCACCTTCCCTGCCCTTCCCGAGGTTCGGGGTCAGCCCCTTCCCAGGGCTCTGCTACTCAAAACATCAGCCCTTAAGCCAGGCTCCAGATGGAGCATCAACAGGACAAATTTGGCAGCAGTTCCCCATCTGGGCAATCCCTCCCTCCCTGGGTACTGAGAAGATAAAAGTTCACAATGTACTGTGCCGTGCAGTGAGCTTCCCATGCAGCCTTAACAGCAGGGGCACCTTCACCCCAGTAAACGCAAGGAACTGGATTTAAGACACAAACCCAGGGCTAAGCACAAGGACTACAATGAAGCAGAGCTGGCAGGTTACCTCCTCTGGACTTCTGCTACGGGGATCTCGTCCTTGTACCACATCAGCTTAGACTCACTCAAAATATTGAAGAACTGGCACCAAAGTTTCAGGTTTCCTGATGCATCGGAAAATTGTTCTGCCCTGATCTTACGAATCACCTGTGGAGCTAAGGACAGGGTGACAAGACATCGATGGTGAGACACACAGTGCTGGCAGCAGCTCCGGGGACAGGCCAGCCCACCCCAGCACTGCTGCTTAGGACTTTGGTGTTGGGTGTCACATCTCAGCACAGCCTGGTACAGCATCGCCTTCCCAGGGAAGGTCTCAGAACACCGCCTGGATAAATACGGTGGGATACAAGCAGTACAAATTTGTTCAACAGTGCAGCACTGCAATACCTCGTGCGGCTCGGCCAGAGGCAATGCAGAAGAACACTGTGGAATGCTGGAGGAAATGTTTCTCTGTTGAAGTAGGGATTTATCCAGGTTACCCTTACTTTTGCAAGAGTGCTGATTTCCATGAGGGTATCGCCTGGCTCCCGCAGGCACTTCAACACCAGGATTATGCCTTTTCTAATTCATTGCCATGAGGGATCAAATAGCATTGACCATCGAGCTGGAAAAGGAGCGTGCACCCCACTGATGCCCACTGGATCCCCAACCAGCATAAGGCCTGGTGAGGACCAGGACATGCAGACCAAGAACAAGAGGATTATATGATTTCTTTGGCCAGGGAAGTCCAGGCTGTGGAGACAGCCAGTCTCAGCACTGCTGTCTCTTGCGTTCCTCTGCCCTCTGTGTGCTAGGGAAGAAGTCTTGAGGCAGACTTTTGGCTTTCACGCAGCCAAAGGGCAACGTTGAACACCCTGCAAATGCACCAAACTGATGTGGCCCCAGCTGACTATCACCGGCTCAGCTGGCCAGGCTCCCTTTGTAGGCAACAAGGAAAGCGGCTTCATGGGGATCACCTCTTCCCTTACCTTTAAATGGGTTATTTGCTTTCTTAGACTCTGCTGGCTCTGCTTCTGGCTTAGCATCTTCAGGGACCTCGTGGTCACCACTGCTGTCACCTGTGGGCTCCTCATACAGCTTAGGAACCTCCAGCGTGGCCATCTTCCTCGTGAGGGTTGGTAAGCGCTGCTCTGTGGGAGGGGACGGAGTCAGGGCAGGTGACTGCAACAGGGCCGCATTCTTCCTGGATTGCCGTGGTGAAACGGTAGGACTTCTCATGTGCCCTGGGCTCCCTGGGGTTGCCTCCTCTTCCTCCCCCACCTGCTTGGTTTTTGGCAGGTATATTTTGCGCCGGGCCCCGGAAGCAAGCTCCTCTGGCGTGGCACAAGGTAGCACTGCCAGAGAGTCACCAGGGCTCTCTTTTTCAGGGCTCACTGGAGGCAAATCAGAAATATTGTTAGGAGGTTGCCCCACTCCTGCTGCTGGCATGCTGCCCACCACAATGGAGGGCACAGAGAGCTGGGGTGGCCCCTCCACCTCGGGAGCAACCCGGGTACGTCTCTTCGGTGGCACAGGCCTGCAAGCCAGCATCTCCTTGCTGGTAACTAATTCCTCATTAATCATGCCCGTAATCCGCCTGGATGTCCTCGGGGTCAGAGGCAAGTTCTCTGCTGTCTGGAAGAGCTGATTGTTTTGTACCTTTTCCAAAACTCTCCTAGAGGTGTGGGGGCTCAGGCCTGCAATGCCTATCTCTGGGAGCATGACTTCCTCTGCATCAGGCTGCTCCTTGTCCCTGGGGTCAACGTCTTCTTTTGTGGCATCCTTACTGCTCTCTGACATTTTTAAAAGCAGCAGCAAATAGTTCTTCAAGGAGGAAACAAGGTTTTTGTGCTGCATCTTCTCCTCCAAAGACACTTCCTGAGGTCTCTCGGGGCTAGGCAGGACCAGTGGTACTTGTGGCTGAACCTCAGCACCTCCTTCAAAAGCGCCTGGAGGTGCTGCCGGTTCCTGTCGCGGAGCTGTGGCTGTTTGCTCTCCTCCTTCCTTCCCCTGAGGCCCCCCACACACTGGCTTTGCACTCTCCTCCCCTAATGTGCTGGCTGAAAACGCTTCTTGTGAGGCAGTTTCATCTGCCCTCTTGATTTCTGTTTCGCTGCTCGCAGGAGGCAGCAGCTGGGCTCCAGGCGGGACCTCTCCTGCTGTGGCCCCCATCCCTGGGGTGCTGTAAGCTGCAAGCAGTGCCTCCGGAGCTACCAACATCCCTGCTGCAGGAGCAGGAAGCGGCTCTTCCTTGCCAAGCAGAACTGAAGCAGGAGCTGGTGTTTCAGTCTCCTGATGTCCCAAAGGTGTCCCTCCTGCCTCCCTATGAGCAACCCCAGGAGACGGCTCTGCTGTAACTCTCCCTCCTGCCTCTGCACCAGGACGGCTCTCAGACAGCTCTGCTGCTTTTTTGCTCTTCCCATCCTTGACTGCTGTCTGATGTGTGATTTGCTCAAGAGCAGTGTCTTCTCCAGGCTCTGGAGGACTGGATTTCTTTACCAATGGCTCTTCCTCATCTTGGCTTCTGTCCTGTTGATTTAACAGTCCCTGTTGGGTCTCTCTGCCCTCAAGAGCATGGGAATGTCCTTCTACCTGCTTCCTAGAGGGAGGGTGCTCCTTGCCAGACTGCACATGGTCTGGAGAAGGTGCTGGTGGCTTTGGTGGCTCCTGAGGCCTCAGCTGAGGATTCATCCTTTTCCCAGCCCCGCTGGTCTCCTGGCAGATGGGCTTCTCTTTCCTGAGCTCCTCTAACTTATTGGCTTGCTGACCCTTTTCTGTGCTTGCACCGGACACTGGATGTTTTAGGTCAGTAGCAGACTTTCCCACCGTTGCTGCAACCTAGTCAAAAAAAAAAAATAGAGAATCAGCATAATTTTACTGCCTGGGTCTGCTCAGTGGTGCTTGTGGTCCATCTGTACCATACGACACTGCCCAGCTTCTGCTGGAATCGTAATATTAAACTGGTATCACTGATACTCATCCAGGACTTCCTGGCTTCGCCATCAACCCACGGTAGTGGGCGCCACAGCCCCCTGTCATGCTGCACAAACATTTGGTTTTTTTAATTGCCTTCAACTTTTCTGCCTTTCAATGCCTTGGTTGTGCACAAAAAGGCAGGAGATCTGCCTCTCTAAAACATTCAATGGCTTTTAACTCAATCTCCTCTGACGTGGCGCCTTCCCAACGAGTAAAACTTTCCTGTTTTCACCAGCCGTTGTCGAGAGCTTGTATAATTTCCTTGCTCTTTTTTAAGACTCAGTGCTCTCCCTATATTCTATCTGCAATCTCCACTCTGAGATGGGGCGATCAGCATGTCACACCCTATCTGGATGAGGCTGCCCAAATGATTTATAGCGAAACTGTACACCGTGACGTTATCTGCGCTATTCGATCATCCTGCTTCTTTGACATTCGGGAAGTTCAAATGTTTCCGACTGCAGCTGCACAGCAGCAAACATTTCAGCAAGCTACCCATCGTGACGGCTGAGCTTTATCCTGAGGAGATCTGGTGAAATCCTCCAGCCAAGGGGCACTAACTATTTTTGTAGGATAAGGCTCAGGGGAAGCAGCGATACTGCTGATACACCCTGTGCCCGGCTGATGCTCAGCTAGCAACATCAGGACAATCGCATGGGAACAGGACAGGCACACAACAGGTTCCCCTTCCATCCCGGAGGATTTTCTCCTGAGGTCTCTGACTTGAGCTTTAAGCCTCCAAAATGAGGTCCATGGGAAAGGAGGGCTATGGCACTTAGCCCTTCTACTTTGTGCCACTTCGGCTTCATTTGAATGCTTGGAAAAACCAGGAAAGCTAATGCCGGTCTCTCAGCAAGCCCTTCCCGACACAATTGTTATGATAATATGAATATCAGAGGACTGCGGTGCAAAGAGCAGCATTAGGGGGGGGCATTTCTGCACACAAAATTCAAGTCTGCTTCCTTGGTAGACTCCAAAGGACGCCAAAGGCCAGGCACTTTCTGTCTCTGCATACACAGCTTGCAGAAATATGGCCCCAGTTCATAGGGTTGCACAGGTACCCCCAAACCCCACACGTCCTTGCTGCTCTTCCCTTAGAGCCCCAGCCCTAGCCTGCTTCGATGGCCTGAGGGTCACAACATGAGCATCCCAGTGCTCAAGCTTAAAAGGTTTTCTTTTAAGAGATGGATGGGCTACATGCAGTGAAAATCCCCTGGGTTTTACTGTGTTATTTGCTTCTCCGTGGCATGGAAAGGGATGGGGATGGACATAGCCCAGTCTAACCGCAGGGCCAGCCCCGGTCCCTCTGCACGGGGGTCTGAGCAGCACAGTGCCCAAGGGCGCTTGAGGTGGACCAGGACTGGTGGAACACAGATGGATGCACAGAGGTGGCTCTACACGACGACGCTGGTCAATGGAGACATCTCTTTGGCTTGAAGAGGACTTTGGGGAAATTGGATTATTATTGGTGAATGAACTAAAGCTTATTCAGAAAAGCTTTCTGGGTGCTTTTCAGAAGAGCATCTGTCCTTAAGTCATCGTAAAACACTCAAACTAGGGGCGTATAAAAGAAATATAATAGAATCATCAAAGTTCTCTGCTCTTGTGCATGAGGATGTTCAGAGCCTGGCTACTGTCTGGCATTTTGCAAAGCCCTTCTGCTACAGATAAATCTAGCTCAAAAGAGAAGCCCTGCACATGAGGGCCAGCTAGGTCGCAAGGCCAGGAAAACAGTCATGCTATGACCCTGTCTTGTGTAAGGGAAAGATTAAAAAAGAAGACGACAAACAATCCGTGTCCTAGGGAGTGAAAATATCCTCAAACAGGTCCGGAGTCAGCTTTAAAGGGCTTTAAAATAGCTTATTTGGTCACACAAAAGCCTGAGCACTTTCCTCAGCATCACCAACTAGCTGAAGCATTCAAATTCAAATCAAAAGCACTCTCTTTTGTCTGCTCAAAGGCACACCAGCTGACAAGTTACAGGTTTCCCTCTGTGAGTGGGTTTTTGAAGAGGAAAATACCTTGATGCATGTCAAAGGCTCAGGGATGACAGCCCAAGCCTGGCTGCTACACACCAACACTTTCCACCCTCCTTAAGAGCAAGGGCCACAAAAATGAGCAGAAATGGAGAAAATTATTTGCTTTGCCATGGGCTCACATGCACAGCAATAATTTCTGCAGCAATATGTGATGTTGATGGGTCAGGTTAAAGATGGGTTCAGGGCACTGCACTGTGGTGAGGCCGGGACCCAGATGCTCGCTTCACGGCGTAACACAGCAGGTTTCTTACCAGTAAATGGAGCTTCTACCTATGGTTAAAGAAATCTAGAAGAGGAAAGCAGGAACACCCGGCCTTCCCACTTTCCATATTGTGGATGTTTCTACATCCTGAAGTATTTGTATGGCCTACCACGAGAGACATGCTGCACCCAGAGTGCCTCCTCTGAGAGCCTTGGCCTGTACTGAAAGCGTGCACCTACCATAGCTCACACACCAAATCCTGATGGTACCTGCAAACTGGACTCAGAGAACCTTTTACCACAGAAGCGGTCATTAAAGAAAAAAGGAAAAGGAAAAAAAAAAGACTGGTAGCTTCCACTCTAATATTTTCATGGAAAATGCTTCAGGTTAAGTGACAAAAATAGAAGTTGACTAAAAGATGCAGTGAGGGTCAGGAGCAGGTGCTGTGCCCTGGTGCTGCATCACCACCACAATGAGTCTTGCAACAGAGTTTTTCCAACAGGAAAGAGCCAAAAAATAGCCCAGATCTACTGTATACATGTTGCACTGTAAACAAAATTCAACACCCTGCCCAGCACAGTTCACGTGGTGTACCTGGCACACTGTGCTCATTTGCATGGAGGGCTCATTAACACCGGCTGAAGCTCAGGCTCAGTTGCTAAACTGAACAGATGTCATCAGTCTCGCTGCCTGTTGTACGCATAAGGCATCCACCCCCAACTATAAATAGCCATTCAGTGCTCCCTGCTTAACTGATTTGGAAACATTTCGCATGAAGTCAGCCTGCGGATTAAACAGGAGAGCTCACAGCACGCCCCAGGCCACCCGGAGCCCAGCTGCTCGGCTGCAGGGCCCTGACGTACATCTCACCACCTCGCCTGACACTTATTTGGAGATGGGGTGGAAGCTCTGCTGTCTGGACACACGAAGTCCAGAAAGCCCTTCTTCATGGGTGCTTTTTCCAGTGGAGACCTACAAAGCCTTGGCAGCAGATCCCGTGGGGTACACGCAGCCTCCAAAGGGCTGATGCCACAATACAACTGTGTGGCACGAAAATTTTCTTGTTGCAACCCCTGCGCTGGCTGCTTCCTGTCCTAGTTACCTCTGGACTGATGGCTTTGTTTCCCTCCAACTTCTGTGCTTGGTGCTGGCCTCTCTGTCCTTCAGACGGCGCAGGTCCTGCTCCCAACACCTCTGAGAACGACGGAGCATCCTCTGTCTGTCTGCTGACTGCCACAGGCTGCAGGGCACAGCTTTCCCAGGCTCTTTAATTTTTGGACTGTTTTCCACTTCTTGATCATTTGCCACCCTTAAACGTGCACTCCTGCGTAAGGGGACAGGAGGGGCAAACCTTGGATTTGGAGAGTGGTTTGCCCTGCCTCGCCCACTTTCTTCTCGCTTGGAAACTTCCTGCTTTGCTGCTGGAGGAGCCTTCACCTTCTTTTTCTTTTTAGCTGCAGAGTCCTTCACCCCTGGCTTAGTCGCTAGGTCCTCCACCGTCTCGTAGATATAAGCGAGAAAGTCATTCCCATTCTCCTCCACACTTTCCAAAGAGGTATCCCCATTGGTGGTCACCTCTGATTTCAAAGGCGCTATCAGTTTGTTTGGAAAGCCCGTCATCACACTGACCGGCTTCTCCTTCGGCTCAGCAATATCCTCACGTAATCTGGACTGAGAATCGGCAACGTGCACTTTTGCTGCATCCTCCTTCTCCCACAGAGAGGCTCCTGACTGGAGATTCAGATCCCTGACCAGCCTCCGCTTTCTCTGGAGCCGATCGGGGCTCATTCCTTGCAATTTCTCCACTTCCACATTTTCTTTCCCTCGTTTCTTGCCTTGTTCTATCTCTCGCAGCTTTTCTTCAGCTTTTCTCTTAATTTTGTCAAACCACTTCTGATGGATTTTGAACTCCGTCATGGTTCCCACTTCCAGCACACCTGAGCAGGACACGATGCCTTTGTTATTTCTAGCTGAGGCCTGGTAAATGGCTGCGTCTTCTTCTCGGCACCTGGAAACCAAAAGCTCTGCATGAGACCCACCCGTCCTCCCCAGGCGCTACCGCTGGGCACACAGGCATGCACACTCTCCCACTTCTTGCTCCAGAGGGGCCAGGAGATGAAGACACGGCCCTTGAGGTGCCGTGCCCGCAGCAGGTCTGGAGGCCTGGGGCTGGCCTCCCTCCCCGGGCTCTGCCTACTCTCAGCAGTAGCAGATAGGCAAGGTGGATGTTAAATCAGTGCCCAGCTGCCCCCTGGGCCGTAATTCCAATAACAGAGGGCTGTGATGGGGGAGGAACAGCTAGCACCAGGCTTCCCGACTGTTCTTAGCCACACTCCTCTGCAGGATCTTCTCCTCTCAGCTCTTCGCAGCCTACATGACATTTCTGTTCTTCCTCCACCCTACTGCTTTACCAAAGCCTTCCCACCCCTCTTCACAGGCATCAGCACAGGCACGTGCATGCCGCCTCTGTTGTCACCCCTCAGGGACACCCAGCCCATGGAGATCCCTGCTCCTGCGAGAGGTGAGCCAGTCTCTTGATGGAAACCTGGAGCACACCTGGGGTGGCAGAAAAGCCCAGGCTAGAAGTACGAAGATGACAGAACTATCAGCAATACCAATATTCTGCACTTTCAGACAGTGCTGCACCTGTCTGACATCCCAAATCCAGGACTCGAGGTGCAACAGGTCTCTGCTTCCTGGGGACATCGTGCGCCTGGCTCTCCAGAAACACAGTCCTCATTTAAAGTTAAAAGAAGCTGGTATTCAGGGCTGAATAAAGGAGGCCCTTGGCTCCATCAGTCAAATGCCAAAGCAGCCCTTTCCTTCCCTGATCTCATGGTAAGAGCTAGGAACGGCCCTCCTGGGACACGGCTGCAGCCCTTTCCCCTCTTTGCCTTTGCCTAGGACATTCCTGTGAACCGTTTACGTCCTTGTCCTGCTGGAGCCCCTGGACCACCAACCTGGAGGCCGCCAGTGCTTTCCCTTCACTCACCTTCGTCCAGCCCTAATGCTCAGCTCCCGTCTGATGCAGCCATAGCACATGCTGCTACCAGCACTGGAAGGCTCCAGAGAGGGGAATTTCTCCTGACCTTCCTCTTGATTCTGGCATGGCAGCTACCCCCAGAGGCAGTAATGGATCTCATACTGATGTGACTGGGGAGTCATCAGAGCAAAGAGCTGAAGGGGAAGGGACAGTCGAGAACATCGCAGTGGGGAGCAGAAGGGGCCAGCACGGGCGCTGGAGGGAGATCGCTGCTGACAGCCAGCTCCTCCACACAATGAAAACATCCTCAGAGCTCCCATCACCAAATCCAACCACTCTCCAGCTTCTTTACTCACTTGTACAGCTGCAGGGTGTGGCGATTTCCATGATGGAGTATCTCATACTTGGGTAAGCCGCAGTAGCGGTCCATCTCTTCATCATCCTTATACCACGTCACCTCCGGCTGCGGGTATCCTGGGGAAGAGATGGACGGTACATCAGGGTGTGAAACACAGCAACCAGGAGCACAGCAAGCCTGCTCCTTTGGGGACAAGGTATCAACAGCAAAATGAAATGCTCCGTCAGAATAGGATGCGTATTATTCTGGGCTCACCGCATTCTTTAAATCACACAGCAGAAAAAGTATTGTGAGCGGACACCTGATGGGTTATCCAAGTCTTTTATCACTCCTAGGAATAGGGCTATTTTTGAGAAGAAAATCCCAGCACTTCATTCCTGAACAGAGGGGAGTGGATCACACGATCGTCTCCTGTAACACTGGCTGGGAGGAGAAGGTGAACTTACTGTCACTTTTATATGAAGAGGCATGTTTTGATGAGACTAAGGCTAAGGTTAGAAAACAGGCATTCGTCCCTCCATGGAGCTCACAGCATTTCGCGAAGTGTCACGGCCTGTAAGCCGATCCAAAAGTTTCCATTGAACAGAAACAACCTTGATTGCATCACAGCCAGCTTGGTGTCCTACAAATGTCACTTGACAACAGATGTCACCTGCCTTTTCAGTAGAATGACATCATGATGTGTGTGACTGGCTGGCTAGCAGGCTGGGCACACAGCCACATTCCCCGCCACTGACAACGGTGGTGGATCAGCGTGAATGCCCCACATGGATCAGTGCTAGCCACAGCCCTCATTTCCCACCGACAGCAGCTCTAGCTCAGAATAAGAGCAGTTTTCAGGGGAAAACAGCTCGAGCCATTGGCCAACACTGGTTCCCCTACTTCCATGGGGCTCCCATCACAGCCAAACTGACCCTAAGGGCACGAGATAGAAGTTTCAACCACCACGTCATGCCTCTGCTTAAGTTGATGCGCTCAACAGTTGTTCGAAGCCCTAAGGTAGATATCTGAAGCTTATCTCCTGCAAATGCCCCTGCTGGCTTTCTGTGCTGCCGAAGTGAAGGAGCCCAGTGCACTGCTCACCTCCACCAGTCCCCAAGGGTCTCCCCAGCAGCCTCCAGCACTCCCAAATGCAGCCAGGGTCAGGTCTCATGGACAACCCTGGCACAGGGCCAGTGAGGGCTCTCCAGGAATATCCACAGCGTCCAGTCTCTCAGAATCACAGAATGGTGGGGGTTGGAAGGGACCTCTGTGGGTCATCTAGTCCAGCCCCCTGCCAAAGCAGGGTCATCTACAGCAGGCTACACAGGACCACGTTCAGGCGGGTCTTGAATATCGCCAGAGAAGGAGACTCCACAACCTCCCTGGGCAGCCTGTTCCAGTGCTCCGTCACCCTCAGACTGAAGAAGTTCTTCCTCATCTTCAGCTGGAACTTCCTCTGCTTCAGTTTGTGCCTGTTGCCTCTTGTCCTGTCGCTGGGCACCACTGAAAAGAGTCTGGCCCCGTCCTCCTGACGCCCACCCTTGAGATATTTATAAACACTTACAAGGTCCCCTCTCAGCCTTCTCTTCTCCAGGCCAAACAATTCCAGTTCCCTCAGCCTCTCCTCGTAGGAGAGATGCTCCAGTCCCCTCACCATCCTTGTAGCCCTCCGCTGGACTCTCTCCAGTAGCTCCTCATCTTTCTTGAACTGGGGAGCCCAGAACTGGACACAGTACTCCAGATGGGGCCTCACTAGAGCATAGCAGAGGGGGAGGAGAACCTCCCTCGACCTGCTGGCCAGACTCTTCTTAATGCACCCCAGGATACCACCGGCCTTCTTGGCAGCCAGGGCACACTGCTGGCTCATGGTCAGCTTGTCGTCCACCAGCACTCCCAGGTCCCTCTCCACAGAGCTGCTCTCCAGCAGGTCCGCCCCAA